CAACAATGTCATACTTAGGTTCAAGAGATTACCCTCAATGGTTTTACAGTCCCTCGAATAACAATCGATCGAAGGGGGTAGCAATAGGGTTTAGGAGAAATATGTTTGTACAGGTACATGCTCGACTGGTAGATACAGAGGGCAGATTTTTATTTCTACAAGTATCTGTTAACGGGATGGAGTACACGTTGGTGAATATATACGCGCCGAACCGGCTGCAAGTCTCCTTTCTGTTAAAGATACTGAGGAAGTTGGGGGAACTACGTAAAGGTACCCTGATAATGGCAGGGACTTCAATCTATGCATAGACCCCAAGCTAGACACATCATCGGGAAGAGTATGCAACTATATCTCCCACCTCACCCGATTGAGTAGAGTGTTGCGTAAACACCAACTAGTGGACATCTGGAGAATATTCCACCCAAAAGGAACGAGATTATACCTACTACTCCCAGCTGCACGATTCGTATTCAAGACTGGACTGGATGATCGATCATGTGGCAATAGAGTTGTGAGGTCTGTAAATATTCTCCCCATGACAATCTAGGACCATGCTCCGGTTGAACTAGTATTGAATATAAATAAATCAATGGGGAAGCAATACAATTGGAAGCTGAATGACTCCTTGCTACATGATAAATCGGTTGCCCAGGAATTGGAAAGGGCAGCAAAACAGTATTTCCAGGAGAATGCGACTGAGGGGGTATCACCGGTAATTGTATGGGAGGCGCATAAAGCAGTCCTCAGAGGCCAACTGGTCGCAATAGGGGCTAGGAGGAAGAAAGAGAGGATTAAATCAACCATTCTGTCAATATGTAAATTCAATAGGAGAAAACTCCAAAATGCATACTGGAGCACTGAAGGCACATATAACGGTTATCGAGAAAGCAGGAAAGTATCCACGCCTATGTGCAAGTTACAGTCCAATTTCCCTCATGAATGTAGACATCAAGATTTACGCTAAAATATTAGCATATAGATTGCGCCCCTTTATTCCATCCTGGATACATACAGACCAAGTGGGTTTTATACCAGGAAGAGAAGCAAGAGATAACGCCCTCAAGACCATATCTTTAATACATTTGGCAAAGAGACAGGGACTGCCAGTCATACTGCTGTCAGTTGATGCCGAAAAGGCCTTCGACAGAGTAGACTGGAGTTTCATGTTTAACACACTGAACACATTGGGGGTGGGGAAAAGGATGATGAGTTGGATAGCTGCCCTGTATGATAATGTAATACCTCTTATGATAAATGATGGCTCCCAGTCACAGGAATTCACATTACACATCATGTTTAACACACTGAACACATTGGGGGTGGGGAAAAGGATGATGAGTTGGATAGCTGCCCTGTATGATAATCCGAAAGCAAAAGTGAGAATCAATGGCTCCCTGTCACAGGAATTCACATTACACAACGGTACACGCCAGGGATGCCCCCTATCCCCACTTCTGTTCGCTCTCTCCCTTGAACCCCTGTTGCCACGATTCGTCTGAATCAAAACATCCAGGGAATAGAGACACAAGCGGGGGAAGCTAAAATCGCAGCATATGCAGATGACATCTTATTATATATAAAATACCCTAGAATAACCTTGCCCCAGGTACTGAGAGAATTACAAGTTTACGGAGAGCTCTCAAACTTTAAAATTAATTTAGACAAATCTGAGATCTTAAATATAACAGTACCAGAAAAGGAAAGAAAAGCACTGATTCCGTATTTTCCCTTTAGATGGAAACAAAAGACACTTAAATACCTGTGAATTAACTTAACATCTAAAACTAAGGAGCTATATCAACAAAACTACGTCCCGATGTTAAATATAATTAAATCAAATCTGGCATCTTACTCTTTGCGAAAGCTATCATGGGTGGGGAGAATCAACGCAATTAAGATGATGACCCTCCCAAAAATACTGTTTTTATTTCAGATTATACCTATTGAGATACCTAGCATCTTTTTTCAAATTTTACAGAAGGTTGTATCTAAATACATTTGGCAGAACGGAAGACATAGAATATGCGGGAAGACCTTGAGTAGGGCGAGACAGGAGGGAGGCTTAGCCCTCCCAAACTTTAGGACATACCACATGGTGGCCCAATTAGTAAGAATAGTAGATTGGACATTCGGGATGGGACAGAAAAGTTGGGCGTCGATGGAGACAGTATATAGCGAGACCCTGTTATCGGGCATAATCTGGATACCACCATCCAAAAGATGCCTGTCGCCAAACACGCTACCACTAACGATCTCAACTATGAGGACATGGGACCGGTTATACCGGAGATTTGGGTGGTTGTACAATTCGATTTTAATACCGCTAATAGGGAATGAATACTTCCCTCCCGGAAGAGAAGACCCTGCCTTTGTAAAGTGGTGTAGGTCCCCCAAATTAAAAGTAAAGGACATTCTGTCAGGCAAGGGAACATGTTCTCTTGTTGAACTTAGAAAGAAGTGGGGGCCATACCCCCTAGATTGGTGGAGACATCAGCAAATCCTGCATTTTACGCAAATTTTACCTAAACCTCTGAGAATAGATAATGAACTAACTGAGCTAGAAACCATTCTGGGAGCCTCAATGGCACCAAAGCATTCCCTCTCACTTTTTTATAAACGTATAAACATGAAAGAAAATAGTTCATCCCCTATATATCTGGATAAATGGGAAAAGGAATTCAACCGTAAGCTTACACAAGAGGAGGAAAGGAAAATGCTACGCTTAGTCACATCAACATCCATTGATGCCAATACACTTGAGACAAATTACAAACTGATATCCCGGTGGTACAATGTCCCACAGAAATTACACAGGATACATAATACAAACGACCCACTCTGTTGGCAGCGGTGTGGAGAGGTTGGATCCCATGCACATATCTGGTGGGAGTGTTCTAAGATTAGAACATATTGGGAAATAGTGAGGGAAACCATTAAGCAAATATGTGACATACAGATCCCCATAGATCCCTGGACATGTTTATTCCATCTTACAGAGGACTCAGAAAGGGGTATAAGAGATCACTATTACCCCACATGCTGAACGCAGCTAAATCACTGATTCCGAGATATTGGGGAACAGACGGAATCCCCTCTATACCGGAATGGTTCGCCAAGCTGGACTCAACTAGGTTGATGGTTGAGCTAGTGATGACGAAACAAGATAAATATGAGTTATTTCTTAAGACTTGGGGAAAGTGGCAAGAATTTAAAGAATCAGAAGCATACTGTATTCTTGTAAATTAGAAGGGAACGATTAAGGATTAAGGAATACCAGTTAACCATAGGGTTATGGGAAACATAAAGGGAATAGGAAGAGAGGCCATTGAAGTAAAGATTGTAAATAGTAGAGCCTTGGGAGGGAGGGGGGGACTCGCATGGGTCTAGCCTAGGAGGAAGGCAGTGAGTGAAGATCTCTCTTCGGGAACATAGGGATATTGAAGGTAGTAAGGTGACATAATAGGATTGAATGGGTGGAATGTTAGAGGGTTACATGTTAAATGCAGATGTATGGAAGAGATGGAGCATATAAAATTTGTTTGAAAAGACTGTTAATTTGTTTTAATTGTTACATGTTAAAATGGAATAAAGATTTAATATACAAAAACAAACATGTCTGCATATGTATACATTTATGAATTTTGTACAACTGGTTTGGGAGCAATAAACAAACAAGAGTTCAAAAAACAGAATATGTCACTGGACATTGTCATAGCACAAGGCAACCAGTGCACAACCTAGTAAACTCAGTGATCACTATATGGCCCACAATAAAGAAACCAATATCTGCTTGTTTACATTCAGGAAACATTGTGCTATTAATAATGGTATATAAAAAGAAAAAAAAGTGTTTATAAAGCAGATTTATCAAGAACCCACCCAATGCTAAGATTTTAGAAATAGACAGACTATAATGGTCATAATCACCCACTGGCACATCTCATCTTTTGCCTAACACAGTGATAAAGTCTTCTCTGTGAAACTTCTTGCTCACTACTTTCCCCAATCTCCAGTAATGGAAATCAAATTTCTTTTGTTGTAGCTAAAGGTTCCTGAATGCTTCAATTCTACTGCAACTCCAGTCACTTACTATTAAAGGGAATGTATAATGGTTTTGTACATATTTTCTTTGCTTATTATGGTCAGGACTGGCAAAAGATATTATTTTAAAAAGGGGGAACTCTGCTGAACAACTAACCTATGGGCAGCACAGTGGCGTAGTGGTTAGTGCTTCTGCCTTGCAGCACTGTGGGTCCGGTTCGAATCACGGCCAGGCCACTATCTGCAAGGAGTTTGCATGTCCTCCCTGTGCTTGTGTGGGTTTTCTCCGGGTACTCCGGTTTCCTCCCACACTCCAAAGACATGCTGGAAGGGTAATTGGCGCCTCTCTAAGTTGGCCCTCTATGTATGCATGTGACATATGCATGATTGTAAGCCCCTTGAGGGCAGGGACTGATGTGAGTGTGCCACTATGTAAAGTGCTGCGTAAATTGTCAGCGCTTTATAAATACCTGTATTATAATATGTTCCAATCAGTATATTTATTATGTGTGCAGTTTCTTGATTCCCAGACACTTTTCCCTTAACCTCAACTCTAACTGTATCCCAGCACTCACCTCTGAATGCCCCACCTGCCCATCTCTACCAACAAGCTTTTCCCCAGGTTGCGAGTACTTATTTGTGTTGCAAGTTGATCATTTCAATCCAGCATCCTGGGCTTCTTGATGGGCAAACTGCTCAAACCTAGTACAGCACTAGTCACACTTGAACAGCTGTTGCAGAAGTGAATACAGTGTACAAGATATACACCAGATGACAATATCTAACAATAAGCACATAACAATAGACTAAATAAAAAACAAATCAGTAAAGTATGACAGTAAAATCATGTCTGTCTCATATACAAAAATATGGAAACAAAACACAAAAGCAGATTGTTTTAAACACCATTTATTCAATGGGAGGGTAAAAAGAAATTATCTTGTGGAACAAGGACATTTGTTAGGCCACTTTCCATACAGCAGCAACACTAGGCTTCCATAACTCCTGAAGTCATCTTTGGTTTGGGCAGAAGGGGCAGGAATTGGTTTTGTTGGTCATAGACCAGGATCGAATGCACTGTGGAATGATATATTTGAATCATGAGAGAAATAAATAAAAATGCAATCCTTTAAAAAAACCAAGATCCCTTATAGTTAACACACAGAAAGAAATAGCCCACCGCTGCCAACCTTTACTAGATGCCCAATTCTAGTGCTGGTCCAGGACCTCAAAACCTTCTGCATCCCTGACCCTAAAGCACTATCCTGAGAAGATCACACTTGTATCTGTCTGCATATTTCTTTCAAGTACATGTTTAAGTTATAGTCCAACCCCTAAAAATCTTTCAAATATAAAGTATGAATCTCAATATCTAAATGATAAAAGAGTGCTTGTTCGGTTCACACCACAAACAATGCGTTGCAGAGTGGTCAACCTCTGGAACGCACTGTATCGCAACCTTGCCGACTCCCTGCGTTCAGGGACGGGAGAGGGAGCGGCAGTGCATTGAAGTCAATGGCACCACAGCCATGCCCCACGCACACGAACGCGTGGTACATCAGTGTCTGCGTTCTGGTCCAGTGCAATCTGCAAAAATAGTGCTTGCAGAATTTTTGCAGATCGCAGGCATAATGTGCCACACCTTCAGATGCTGGAGATTGCACTGCATGCAGGGGTGCATGACTGGGGTGCATGGCTGCAGTGCTCCTCAATGGACGAGAAAGAAATAAGGCTTTAGCCTGCGGATGGCAGCATGCCTCTGTTTAATACTGTAATTGTCTAAAACAGTATTTAAAAAATATATATAATTTTAAAATGTGTTTTACAAATGTAGGCTTTGTGATAATAAAAATAGCAGGGGTACTTATTAAAACAGGGCACCAAATAGAAGCTATATATTTACTTAAAAATCTAAAAAATATTTAGGTATGCAAATCAGTAAGAGTTATAGTAAAGTTAACCAAAACATCCTGATGAAGCTAAATTCGGCCTGGGAATCTCAATGACCTTTGGTCACAAAAGGGTTAAAGCTTAAGTCCAGACAAAACTTTTTGTTACATTTTTGATAATTCAGGGACCAATTACAAATGATATCATATTTTTATTACAGAATCCATTAGAGAGATTTTCACCCACTGTCATTAAAACACTGACTTCAGCTGACATAATAAACATAAAATACTCCTTATATTTATCATACTTACCACTATGTGCATGACATGATTGCAAGACATGGGCTGCAGGTCATGGAGCTGTACATTATGTTGACAGATGAGGCACAACTAAAAAAGCAAGCATTAGGCTTAGTACATGTATTGAACATACAGTATATACCTGGTTAAAAGTCCCACAAAGCTCACCTGCGGGCGCCCCACATATGCTGCTGCAGCAGACAAGAATGGTGAAGCTCGTTGTGTGTTCTGATACTGGGGTCTACCATGTCCGATGGGCTGTTGAATAATAATATTAAGGCAGGCAAATTACTATATTACCTCTGTTTGTATATCACTACACACGATTTCAATTAACAGAATTCTTAGGATTGCCCTAGTGCAGAGAAAGTATAAACTACAAACATAACAAAAGAAAACAATGACATTAGCAACAGTAAACCAATTAATGTGCAAAGGCATATATTAAAAAACATAATTTAAACAGTTTGATAAGTTCACCTTCATTATAACAATATTATGCTGCTCCCCATACTTGGTCAATTCAATGGCAAGAGCCTAGCAAGTTCTTTACAGTATACAGTGGTACCTCGGTTCACGAACAATTCGGTTTGGCAAAATTATGCTTCCATTCGCGAACTCCGCATCGGGTGATGAACACAACTGCAGCCATCTTCCCTGCTCTGACACATGGTCGTGGCTTTATCTAGTCGAGATTGCGGTCTGATCACAGTTTGATTCGGTTCACGACCAGAACCATGGAACGAATTAAGTTCGAGGTACCACTGTATATGTCTTAAATGTAGTGTAAGAAAGCATGTTGTCACAAACAAAAACACTCAGAAGAGTAGCTGCAGAGGAGGCATTCCTTGGTCTTTTCCACTGAGTTAACTTCTGTGACCTCAGCCAGCTACTCGGTGCAATCATGCATATCAAAGGATATGCAGACATTCCTTTAAAATATAGGAACCTAAAACTGCTCTTGTGTTTGAATCAAGGTTTGAAACAAGCCAAAAGACATGTGAACTTGAGGGACCTTGATGACCGATAAAGACACATTGTTGTGTTGTGTTAATTGTAAAACATTGTATCATGCATTATAAATTGCACCCTAATGCAGTAAATCAATGCACCTGTGATGTATTGCACCACAATGCATGATAACGTGTATTCGTTAATGCACTGCAACGCAGCGGATATATCTGAATGGGCCTTCACTGTCTGTACCTTTCAGATGCGAGGTGAGAAAATCAGATGTGAGAAATTTAGGCTGAATCTAATCTAATATCTAAGGCTGGGTTCACACCTAGGCGTATCGAATCTGCGCGTTTGTTGTGCGTTTTTACCGCGATTTGCTGTAAAAAAACGTGCGTTTCCGAGGGCTACTTGGCTGTATCCCTATGGAAACGCGTGACAAAAACGCCCCAAAGAAGCTCATGTACTTCTTTGGGCGTAGGCCGTTTTGTAGCGCGTTCAGACGTGCTGAAATACGCCCAGGTGTGAACCATACCCATAGGAAACAACGGGATTTCGGTGTTTGAGCGTTTTGCAGAGCGTTCGAACGCGCTACAAAACGCCCAGGTGTGAACCAGGTGTAACATCTAATCGAGTCTAACTACAACCTTACATGAAACTCACCTGTGTCACCTTAAGAGATGGATTTGGAGGTTCTCTTAGCAGCTGGGTAGCTACAAGATGGCACAGTTCTTCCACAGTAAGGCCAGAAAGTGTACCCCGGTTCATCTTCACACGTTGCAAAATGTCAGTCAAATGAGCTCTAAAAAAAAAAAAAAAAAAGAACAGGCAAACAATATTACACATCCAAGTTGATAGAGTCCTGCTTGAACAAGTGTGTGTACATTTTAACTATGGAGATGGGTAATCAACAGGCTTTTTCAGAAAAGTAGAAGGATAGTCTGGGAAACACGTTAAAAGGAGCCAAAGACTCCACCTGTTGGCTGAAAATGAATATACAGAGGGGGAATTTATCAAGGGAGTTGCTCCACTTTTCTGTCCTGTCTCTTTGACAAATTTTCCACGTTATTTACACTTTATCAATGCAGTCTAAGCCTTGATAATAAATGTCATTTTCTGGGGACATATATAGGGAATTTATCAAAGCAATTGCGAGTGTTTGAACTTGCATGGAATATATTTGCACCAGATTTATGATGCTAGTGTCATGTTGTTGATAAATGAGGTTTAACCTCTTGCCGTCCGCCCGTAGTATAAAAACGGACGGAACTGCTGCATTAGCGGGTTGCCGTCGCCAGACGGCATTTTTTTTTCTGCTCGCGCGCGCACCCTAGCAGGCACGCACGGGAGGAAAAGACCCGACCATTGCACACACCCGTTACCGGGTGTTTCACATGTAGGCGATCAGCGGCTCCATAGCCAGCTGATCGTCTATATGTGCTCGTTCGCGTCCGCGAAAAATGAATATAAAAAAATAAAAGTAACATATAAAAAAGTAAAATAAAATAAAAGTCACATATAAAAAAAGGGGAAAAAAACCCCCCAAAATGTTTAACTCCCCCACGTTTACGCGCCTATAAACGTAAATATGCGTCCGGTGCCCCAGCGCGCAAAAATTACAATTGCGATACACATGTTACAGAGCCTTCATTTTAGGGCCATCAATCACTGATAACACTAAACTGATGAGCGGTAAAAGCTTTTAAAGCGTCGCCTATGGCCAATTTTGGGTATTATCGTTTTTTGAGGTTTCGCGCGCGCACACAATTTTAAGGCTTGACACGTTTGGTGTCTGTTTACCCGACGTGACCCCGTCTTTTATATTTTACCAAAAAATTGGGTAATAATAAATGTTTTATCATTTAATATAGAGGAAACTGTTTTTTTTTTTTAATTTTGGTGTTTTTTCCTTAATATAGTAAAAAAATAAAAACCCCAGTGGTGAATAAATACCACCAAAAGAAAGCTCTATCTGTCCCCAAAAAAGGGTATAAAATTCATTTCAGTACAGCGCTGCATGACGGAATAAATGTCAGTCAAAGTACCGCAGCTCTGAATACTGAAAAATGGCCTGGATGGGTAGGGGGTTTAACACCGCGGATGTCAACTGGTTAATAAACTCCAGGAAAGAAGACTTCTAACTCCAGGCAAAAAGCTTAACTGTCGCTTCTTGAAGAAGTGGTCATGGGGGACTTCTTAAGCTGTGATTGTTTTCATAGGTGATGCTCCAGTTTCATACAGCCCCAGAACAAGTGAAGATGAAAACAGGTGCAAAACACGTGCAGCTGGAAAAGTAGTGAAAGCTCAGGTGAAAACAGGGGCACATGTTGAAAGACAGATTTGCACATTTAAAAAAAAATGATCTAAGAGGATAAAACTGTCGTAATTGCTTTGATAAATTCCCCCCAGAGTTTTTACACAATATTCATATTTACCGGACTATAAGAAAAAAAAGAATTAAATACATTTATTTTTTTAGTCCCTGACATAGGAGAATATGAAAGAAAAACTCTGAAGGTTTCCTTCAAAGTGACATTAAAGGATAATTTTTTTTTCCCTCCCCGCAATGTTAAAGGAGAACTATTAGGCGAGTGCCTTTCACTCACCTCATAGTTCTAGCCGACCTGTGACAATGAGACTGTCACAGGTCGGCTCAGTAGATCGGGAAGTGAGAGAACACATACCGGCGTTCGCTCACTTCTCAATCCTGTCACGGCTCTCTGCACTGGATTCCCCCCTTCCCGCTCCAATCCGCCAGCGCTGACTGGCGGAACGGATGGGGAGGGGGCAGGTACAGCTTGCTCTGCCTCTAGATAGGCAGAGCCAGCTGTCACTCACGCATCTGGGCGGATCCAGACATAATTGTCGGGATCCGCTTCAGCTGCGGCGTCTCAGTATACCGCGAGCTGTAGCTCGCGGTATACTGAGCTTAGGGTGGCGGGAGGACGCTAGTTTGTGTCCTCCCGTTACCCTAAGGAGAACTATGGGGAAAAGCCCTGACCCCAAAGTTCTCCTTTAATGTTAGCACTTACCTTAAATGATGTCTCTTAATCCGATCTTCCTCTTCTTTCCTGATGTTTTCATCTGTCCCTCCAGCGGTGCGGCGGCTCTCCGATCCAGGGCTGACTCTTCTCTGCTTGCAGGCACTTCCGATCCAGTAGTGTCTGCATGCGGGTGCACGCGTCCATAGACTTACCTTGCGTCTCTGCTCGTCTCCCGGGCCGAGAATTCGAACTGTGCATGCGCCCGCCCTAAGATGCTTTGCGGCCGCCTGAGCAGTTTCGTTTTCTCGGACGGGAGCGCGCAGCAAAAACGGGGTAAGTTTAAACCGCTGTTAAAGCGGGGTTTTTTGTTTTGTTTTTAACCTTTTGCCTATATGTACTGCTTGATAGCAGTACATATAGGCAAAAAAAACGGAGGCTTAGAACCCCTTTAATGTGACTCTGTGCTGAAAAGAGTAAAGGGCATGCTCTAGCTCTCAAAAGCAGAGTTCAGCAAAGGCAGCCTCCATGATTCTTCCATGACTGATGACAGATAATCAGTACATTTTGCAAGTTTGTTTAACTGTATTTGTTGCCTGAAATTCTGCTTTATTTTATTGTCATCATATGAACTTGGCATACTCTACTCCACTATATATAGTAACAAATAATTGGTAACATTGAGCATCACACAGTGGTGTCCAGTCTCCAGCAGCTTTGTTTTTCAGCTATATGAAATGTACAGCTGATAAAACTAAGCTGAACATGTAGACTAAGCACTGACCAGTGCCCATTGGTACCACTTACTTTTAAACAAATAAATAGCTATAAAATAACCTTTAAAGGAATAAACAGTACCTATAAATTTAAATAATCTTGTATCCTGACTAATAATACTAAATTTGTAAGAAAAGTGTAGATAGGTTTTGGTAATATAGTTATAGAATGATTCAAACAACTCACTTGTTGCATTGTGGGAACCTGGCTTGCAGCTTCTCCAAAATCTTGCTTAGCTTGTCTATACTTGGGGGCCCTGAAACTTCAGGACTGTGAAGATCGGATATACCGGGTGATCTTGGAGCTGACTGTATGGTACCCATTAAGTTCCCTGGAGTAAATGCCAACAGAGGTGGACGCTGATGAAGGAAAGGTGATGGACCCAGAAGTGGCTGCTGGAATGCATGACCATGAGGTGGTATTAATGCTGATAACTGAGCAGCTGGGCCTTGGTTCGATATTGGAGGAGCTCCAAAAGCAATTTTCTGTAACATGAGGTTGGGCTGTAAAAAAATGCAAGAAGAAACTAGATCCAGAAAGTGCAACAATGAAATACAAACTTAAAATATACTTTTCCAGCATGACGTCACTTTATTTAACATGGCAACCAAAGATGTCCCCTGCACACCATACAGCAGTCAGGACCTGTGTTCGAATTAGCAGTGGTGTTCATAGTGATGTCCACGGATGGCACCGTGCATATCCAAGGTTAACAGCAATGAAGATCACCAGCACTCACAGGATGAAATAAATCCTTGTGTTTTTTATTGAAGGATCATGTCACATATATTGCATAGCCAATGTTTCGGAACCACGCAAGGTTCCATTCATCAGGTCATACATAGTGACCACATGGCGAATATATGGCGAATATATGTGACATGATTCTTCAATAAAAAACACAATGATTTATTTCATCCTGTGAGTGCAGGTGATCTTCATTGCAGTTAACTTTATATAACATAACGCTAAGCAGAGTTCATTCAGATGACAATGTTTTGAAGATGTTGTGAAATACAAGGAGTGAACCAAAACTGAAAAGTAAAGACAGTAAATACAGTATAACATTCAAAAATGTCAATCCAATTAAATTGCAGATCTTAAATAAGGGTATAAATATGTTAAAGTGACAATAAAGTAAAAGTTTTTTTCCCCCCTTCCCAATACTTCCGTAGGGACTTACCTTAAATGATGTCTCTTAATCTGATCAACTTCTTCTTTACTGTCCTTTTTAGATGCCCCTCCAGCGCTGACTACCCTGTCCTCCTCTTCTCTGATGTCCCACGGTGTCTGTGCGGGTGCACGCTGCTCCATAGACTTAACTTGTGTCTCTCCTCATCTCCCGGCCAAACATCTGAAGTGCGCATGTGCCCGCCCCAAGATCCTTTGCGGCCGTCCGAGACTCTTCAGATGTTTGGACGGGAGCGCGCAGTGACACAGGTAAGTTTAAACCCTTTTTAAAAGGGTTTTTTTATTTTATGCTTTTGCATATATCTACTGCTTGCTAGCCATAGATGTATGCAAAAACAAGCGAGGGTTTAATAACCCTTTCAGGCCAGAATACTGTTATATTTTCTTAAAACAGTGAATCCATTTAAAACTAATTTCAATTGTAGATGTTACAGATGTGAGTGGAAAAGGGGAGGTTCTTTCAACCTCAATATGCTACATGTGCTTAGTTACATTTCTGTGGTTTCTGCACAAATCCAGCACCACCATACCCAAGCCTGGTAAGGCTGTTCACAGATTGTGAAGAGAGCTATCAGTTGGTTTTGGAACAAACAGTTGGTGTTGGACTTTATACTTTGCTGTGGGTATTTATTTCCCTACCAATGTCAATTTAAAGCAAGCAGCAGATCTACACGATATCCAATCTGCCATGCCAACACCCTAAACTTGTCTTCAAGGTGTGATGTCAGTCTATCACTTAATAAACCAGCAATTTACACATCCTGGTATTAGTAATGTTTATATTGGCTCATGTTTGGTTATGGATAAATTATTTAAAGCAACTGCGTCAAGGGGGAGGATTTCAATACTATATTTAGATGTTAGGTGTTAGGCTGGGAGGTGGATCTGGGCCCAATAGAAGATAGCATATGGGAGGAGGTGCTGCGAACAATCCAGCTGGTGTCACCATCTGCGTCCTGTAGGTTAAACACAATTCTATATCGTCAATAGGACATATAGGACCCCGCAGTTTGTTTAAAATAGGACTACAAAAGAACTCTAAGTGCCCAAAATGTGGTATTGACCCAGAGTCATTGATACATTTGTTGTGGTGTCCAAAATGAAAGCGTTACTGGCATGAAATATATGTAATCTATGGGGTTCGGATAAGTAATAACCCTTTGACGTCTATATTGGGTCTGAACGAGTCCTTAAACATAGAATATTATGAGAAGCTGGCCATTGCGAGAGCTCTGTTTTTTGGCACGTCGACTTATTGCATGTAAATGGATGTCGGCGGTGACACCCAAAAAAAGGGGAGTGGAGAAAAGAACTTGAAAGAGTGGTTGCATTTGAGAAAATAATGTCAAACCACCGTGGCCTTTTAGAGAAGTACTGGAAAATGTGCATAGAGTGCCAATGTATGTGTATGATGTGGGAACTCTACTGCAAATAGAAGACTATGTATAAGAAAAGAGCGTAATCAATTGTATTTCACTCGTATGAGGATTTTTCCTTATGTTTCTTATAATTATCATATAGAATCTTTCCTTTTTTGGGGGGTTGGTCTGTTCTCTTTTTGAAGATGTGATATGATTGGAGTATATGTTATGTACATGATTGTAAACTTTTAAAATGGTATAATAAAAAGTATTAAAGTAAAAAAAATACCAGCAATCTGCATGATTGGACATGATTGTTTAATGATGCACTAAATAATCAACAAATAATACTTACATCAGAAGGAGGAGGAGGAAGATCTGGAGCCAATATTGAATGAAGGCTGCTTAATTTAGCCCCACCTTTGACCTGCTTTATTTGCACCTCAAACTGTTCCTGAAAAGGCAAAGAAATAAACATTAAAAGCAGATTAGGGTCATGTTTGCTTTCATGTTTTCTCAGTCTGCACACTGCTGACAACTCCTTGGTAACTTTCACATGCATTTTCTCTTTTCCAGACCTTTCCTGAATCTTAAAGAGACCCTGTCATGGGGAAAAAAACTGCTTTGTGTATTAACTGTAGGTACCTACAAGAAACCTATGCAAAGGAAACCTTTCATTTTGTCTACTTGTTTTTTTGTAAAGCATGCGTTGCACCTCTACCTCTGTCCCTCTACTGGTGAGTGGTATGTTGTGAATCATAAGCGATGCAGATTTCTTATAGATTATAGGTGTTCATTATTTAGGTCATTGTGAGATGATGAGGCTTAAAGAGGCACTAAGATGGGAACACTAAAACAAAACTTGTACCTAGAGGTACCTGCAGGAGCATCCAAAACGTTGTATGTACAACAGGTGACAATCCTATTGTAAGCAGGTAACAAGCACACAAGGGAAATGGAAATGCTCTGGGATTATGAGAATCACAGCAACCAACCACATATGGTACTGAGCAACATTGCATTTCTAGCTGGCTGAAACTCTGGCTAGCAAACAGCAGAAATAATTAGCTATGGTCACATAGCATGGTAGTTATTTTGCAGCATAAAGAACAATTGACAGTCATCCAGTATTAATATTCAGTCATGGAGGCCTGCAGGTCACAGTATGAAATAGAGAATGCAGCATGCATTGAGCACTCAAGTGTTGTTTCCAGTAGAAGTCACACAATAAGTTGTGCTTTGTTTTATGAGGATTATGGAGAAAACTGCACCCAAACCAAATCTTGGAGAAAGTTATCACATTTCTAGGTGGATTGGAAAAAAACTGTTTTTGATTACCATTAAGTATAAGGATTGGCAAAGGACATACACAGAGCCCCCTTTTTTTGGCCATAAGACTCTATTGAATGTTAATGGCTCTTGCATGGTGGGGTAGAAAGGAAAGTAGGAACTGTCACCAAGTCTGCTTTTAAAGCTGAAGATTTTTCTGCTTATATTCTGCCTGCCCCCTCCCCACCATCAATAAAACCTTCCCATTATTATAACAAACCTTATCAGAGATGTAATCACAGGGTCTATGTGCTTCTCTATCCAATACAGACAGATCATGGCTGATGGGAGGGTGCTGAACATGGTTTCCTGAAAACACAGCATTCTGTTTCAGTACTCCTCTCAAGTGTCCTTACCCCTGATGCATGTAGTGGGCTGACCCTTGGGAGGAGTTATGCAAATATCAAAACACCTTCATGGGCAGGTGTCACTGCGAAATAATGGGTGTTCCTATGCATTTTTATGCTCAATGATTGGAAAAGCTGAATTGCAGTGAATGAAAGGGGAGGGCCAGGAACAGTCACACTGGGGAAGAAAGAGCTAGATGACTCTGGATGTCCTCCAGCCAAAAAATGAGGCAGGCTCTGACTTGCTGCAGCTTCTAATGCAGTGAAATCAGACTAAGCATTCCCGCTAAAGGAGAGGATCAGCACAACAGCACTGTGCCAGGCACCACACCGACTGCTGTGCGATATATTGGAATTTATTGGTAACAATCCTATCATTTCTAAAAATAAAGTTCAAGATATAAATAAGGTGGTTAAAAACAAATGATCCTGGGTGGGCAAAGAAAACTGATTTTGTTTTGTCACCACATTTATGAGGTGATACATCACACAATTACAGAGAAGTGAAATAGAGAAATTGTCGGCGGTTGCTTTCTTTTTACCAAGTACAGTGGTACCTCGGTTCACAAACGTAATTTGTTCCACGATTCTGGTCGCGAACTGAATCAAACTGTGATCACACCACGATCTCGACAAGAGGAAGCCACGGCCAGTGTCAGAGCAGGAAAGATGGCTGCGGCTGTATTCGTCTCCCGATGCGGAGTTCGCGAACGGAAGCAAAATTTTGCCGAACTTCTTGTTCGCGAACAGAAACGTTTGTGAACTTAGGTACCACTGTACATTTGACTAAGTATGCTTTAGTTATGAGGGAAGTCACTACCCAATACATTCTGCTTATCCAAATAAAACAAAAAAAGACTTACCTGAAGATTTGCTTTCATTTGCTGGATTCCAGCGAGCCTAGAATCCCATCTGTGTTTAAGCTGAAGCCATTCCTTATGAGGTGGAGCAACTCTGAGGGGAAAGAGGAACAAATTCACTAATTGTAAAAAAAAATATTGAAACCGAAACACAACATGCTATTAAAATGAACAATTAATGAACAACAGTAGGATCCTTAAATGAAGGAGCGCCATCAAAAAGAATAGTCAACGCCTTGTTAAGACGAGAAATTGGCAGATAAACTTCAGGAGGAATAGATCTTTTTGTAATAAAATCATCTGGAAAAGGATGCAGAGAGTTAAAGCATCTAGGAACCACAAACTGCTTATCCAGAATTTCCAAAAAGGCAACTGTTACTTTCTGATGCTGAGTGAATCTATCATAGCCCACCTACTGTACCAGTGATATGGCATAGTGTTTATGACAAGCACACATAAGGTGCATTGCATTCATGGGCTGAATCTATGTTCTATGTTCCTTAAAGGAGAACTATGAGGTGAGTGCTTTTTACTCACCTCATAGTTCTAGCCGACCTGTGACAATGAGACTGTCACAGGTCGGCTCAGTAGATCGGGAGTTGAGCGAACACATACCGGCGTTCACTCGCCTCTCGATCCTGTCACGGCTCTCCCCTGTCATGGATTCCCCTCTGTTTTGCTTGACTGGATTCCCCTCTCCGATCTGCCAGCGCTGACTGGCGGAACGGACGGGGGAGGGGGCAGGTACAGCTGGCTCTGCCTCTAGATAGGCAGAGTCAGCTGTCACTCACGCAGCTGGGCGGATCCCGTCATCTACGTCGGGATCCGCTCCGGCTGCGGCGTCTCAGTATATATACTGAGCTTAGGGTAATGGGAGGATGCTAGTTTGTGTCCTCCCGATACCCTAAGGAGAACTATGGGGAAAAACACTGACCCCATAGTTCTCCTTTAATCAAAGAAGGAAAGGGTGTGTGCCCCAGGCACTTAGATAAAAGTTAGCAATGTACAGCCGCTGTATAACTTTCACAAGCGCTACCGCTCCTCACTGAGTGAAAACCTGTTACTACAGTAAGTCTGTAGCAGAAACAAAGGGTATAACAAGCACAGATCACCATAGCATCACCTCACGACCTTGTAACGTACAATGTAAAGCACAAATGTCAAGTTTCTGAATAAAAATAGCAGTAAGACAGCATAAGAAATGAAAAAAAAAAATATTTTCACACAGTGCCCTGCTAATAACACAATCTGCTCTGACAATTCTGCCTCCGGCGGATTCACACAATAATACTCATGGCCCTTACCTGTGTGAGGAAAAAATATGAGGTACTGTAACCACTTTCTGCAGTCAGCAGAATAATCAAAGAATGGCTGTGTAATAGTAAAAAATTGGATATCTCTGTTCTGTACTGCATGTGCAGTAGATATAAACAAGTGCATCATCAGATTGAGGAGACAGTTGGAAATTGAATAAAATCAGTCAAACTCCACATGAAGGCATTTAGCCAGGTAGGAGTCTAAAAGCACACAGCCAAAGTAAATGAAGGAAAAACATCCAACCGTATAAACATCAAATGATACATTTTTACTCTCGACTCCATGGCCCTGTTCCCGACATAACAACAGGAATCCCCAGTTAACACTGGCCTAACTTTTCAATGAAGAAAAACAGGAACACAGGGACAAGCATAAGTACTAAGACCAGAAACGACCTGCTTCATGTCAACTAGAGAAACTTCCAGGGTTTAACTTAGCCAGCATGAATCTCTGTTTTGTCAGCTAGCTAGAGAAACTTCCAAGATTGGATAACATCCGGTATGAATCAACTAGCAGCTCTTAGTAGAAGAATCTTCAATGACTAAATAAAAAAAAAAAACTAAAATAATAAACCAGAAGAGAAAGAGAGACATCCATTCTCCTGAGGACACCAAGCAAAACTGGCAGGTGTGAGATGAGAGGGGTTATGTTCTTAAAGTGGCAGGCTTTTAGTTTTCTTTTTGCCTAGTTTTTAGATTGTAAGCTCTCACAGGCAGGGCACTTCTTACCATCTTGTTTTAAATTGTAATGTTCTCCTTATATTGTAAAGAGCTGCGCAAACTGTCGGTGCTATATAAATCCTATATCATAATAATAATAGTGTCAAATTCTCCTGGAGGCAGCAGCATACCCAAAATCTCAGAAATATTTAGAGCTGTGTCCCTCAATAGACAATGGAGAAATAAAGACATATATCAGGCAGTTAAATAACCAGTATTTGTAAAGAATACATAAGTGGACTAAAATGTTATTGTTTACTTGCAGCAAGCTTTGTTTCTAATAAAATGCTGGAAATAAGCTTTTTTTTAGGTCGTTTCCTAACTAGCAGGAATAAGCGCCGTGGACTTTGTTTTATATATTTGCAGTGAAATGATGTCCCATAGGCAACATAAAAAAACTGAACAAACTGATCACTATTTTCTCTTTCAGCTGTGTTGCTAGTGTACAAAGGTTTGAGTTGCTTTTCTTTTTGATATGACATGAGCTACTTACCGAAGGTAGGATAAAGTTACTTCTGCATCTTTTTCTGCTTCTTCTAAAGATATAAGCAGCAAGTCTCTCCGGCTCTCAAGTGAAAGCACCTTTAGAAATAAGACTGGAGGTCAATGAAAAAAATATATTTCCAAGGAAAACATTGCATTGATTTTACACTGTCAAGTTATGATACACAGTTAATATTAAGCTATTCAGAGCATAATCAATCTGCATCACTTGAGTACCCGGATTCACATTATCCAATAGAAGCTGGCATTGACGTTTTAGTTTGAGGTGCCTGTACTGCCATCTTCTACATCAGTGGTGGCTAACCTACTGGATATGAGGGGCCTCAAGTGCAGCCAATGACATCAATAGGCCTCACATAATATTTGGTGTATGTTATGCTACAAAAGACTTTCAGGCTGCCTACTACAGGAGATGCTCAGAACCTGGGAAATATTAGAGTAAATGACCAGAAATTATATAGGAGTGGTTGAAGACTGGGAACATGCTGCAAGATGACAGAATAGGGACATATTACACGAGACTGCTACAAATGACTGTCATTATATCCCCACATAAGGCTCCTACATCTGTGCTGCTCACAGCTCCCCTACCACCAAATCTGATATTGCCCAGAGAAAGATCCAATATAAAAGATCAGAGAACCCCACAAAGGAACAGCACATTCTTTTCTAAGGCCCTGATATGCACATTTTCATTTCCTAGTAGGCGCTTGGCACCACCCCATTCCATGTCTCTCTTCTGGTCAGGTAACACAGTCAGGTAACACTACTGAACATATACTGCCTCATGAGAGACTGGAGAGCAAACAACTGGGTATATTCTATTCCTTTAAGAATAAATCTTTAAAATCATGATCCAAATTTGCATAAAAGCCACCATGAAATAATAACCATAAAAGTCTACTGCAGTATACTTAACAGGCACTGGAGACCAACAACAAGAATATTGTGAGGGTAAATTATCAAAACTGGAGCAAACAAAATATGGAACAATTGCCCTTGGCAACCAATCAGCTTCTCTTTTCAGTTTGTTCGGTTAAGATTTGAAAATGAAAGAAAGAAGCTGATTGGTTGCTGTGCACACAGATTTTGATAAATTCCCCTCACTATTTATCTATATTACTAAGTGCAAAATACATATTGATACTGCCAGAAATCCACTGCAGTCCTGTGCTTTCTACAGTGTTATCAGAAAGTGTTATACGAGTACAGAATACCCCTCTGTGTTATGGGGAAGAGGAGGTGTACCGTAGTCCTAAAGCACTTCCAGTCTAAGGGGATAACATAGCTCCTCCATGGATACAGTACAATGTTACTAGCAGGATAAGCAGTTAAAAACAAATGGAATAAAACTGAAAAAAGAAGAAAAAGTAATGCAGCCGCCACCACCACATCTAAGGACTGATAAACTTACATATCTGTTTTTGGGTTTAGATATACTTGATTTAGTATATTTCATATGGCTACTGGGCCTTGTGCATTATAGTATTTAAGCCAGAGAGCCCAGGCAACTAGAAAGAGGACTGCAATAGCAGCTTACACATTCCTCACAATAGAAGTATATTTCTAATACATTTTATGCACTGTCACTATGACTGGATTGGGAAAATTGCAAAAAGTTAGGAAAGACAAAACTAGTAGAGAAGAAAATAAGGACATTGTTCTTCGGAAGTACCTAATTAGCTGCTATGGACAAAGACAGTCTTCTTTGTTCTAGTTTTTATGAATTGACCTCACTGAATTGTGCCGAAATTCAAAGAGAAATATTTTACCTCAGCATTTTGTGCGCGCTCTAGTTCCTTCAATGCACCCTGTGTCACCTCAATTTCTTTCTTCTTCAATGATGCCAGTTCAGCGTCCCACTCCTCCCTGTAAATTGATAAAGATGATATATGAATTATGGCATGTGAAAAGTCTGTGTAATGCTTAAAGATCTGCCCCACCCCTGTGCTAAAATCCACCAATTTCTGCAAGGCTGTCAGATGCCAATGACAGGCAGATCATTTTTGTGTATGCGCACATATACCTTCAGATATAGTCCCCTGAGACACATATACAACCAGATACACATTTAACAACTGAATGTTCTGCACTCAAGTGGGGGTATGATAGATGTGTATACAAGATTTTCTGTCTTGACAGGTTAATCTTTGAAATTATATCAGTTCACTGTTGACACATGTTGAAGCTGGTTATTGGTATCGCTGAGGTGAATAACCGGTATATGTACCCCTTTATGCAAAGGTTCTTAACACTGCATCCTGTTGAAAAGGGAACAAGTGTGACTAGCCAAAACTTTTTTTTGTAGTCTTTAATGGAAGGGGAAAGGATGAAAACTTCTGCCAAATGTTTGTTTCTCTGCCTGTTCCCTGTTGAGAAATATACCCCCACCCAGAACAAGAGGTTGGGGTATATCTTCCAATGGGAACACCTGTTTGGGGCTCATGTACATTGTATTTCATTTGTATCTGAACAACTTTTCTTCCCCATAGCAGCCTGATGCAACTAGACGCAAACCCCTTCAGCAACTGAAAGGCAAACCAAAGCAACATAACAACACAAAGCATTTAAGAAGCATCTAAAAACATACCACATTGGACTCACTTCAGAGACTGAGGCCTGTGTACCCAAGCCATAACTCTACTGCCAGTATTGGTGCAATGTGCGCCAAGAACTGGTGTAAATGGGCTAATGCAACATGCTGTCGGGTGCAATCCGGTTGCATTTAAGATGTTTGAGCTTCTAAGCTTCTTCTAGCCTACTTCAGAGCTGCTTTTGTATCCCATTGATTTGTGAGGGGAGCAAGGCAATACCGATGCAAATTATGCCTGTATTCGCAAAGCCCCAGGATAGCCAATCTAAAGACTGAAGATGCTTGTAAAATACTCAGCATTCCTGGACTGGAACAAGCAGACCTAAAAAGTATATCATTATGAAATAATCCATAAAAGCTGAAATTGAAACCCAGTGATTGCTTAAACGTTTCGATCATCAACAGCCCTCAGTGACAGCTACCGTATATTCACAAGTATATTAGTACTTTAGAAACATTAACCCTAAAGCCTGCTGCTGAATAGAAAATGGCGAGGATAACGGTTAATGCAAACGCTTGGGCATAAAAGCATGTGGAAACAGATTTATCTCTAATTCTTCACTCTAGTGTTAATGAATTCAGGTAGAGCAACTGAAAAGTTAAAGCAGAACCCAAAAAGGTGACCTAGGTCAATAGAGAAACCATTGGTCCATCCATAACAACCTTTCCTTTTGAAAAAGAAATTGTAAAAAAAACAATTAAATCTTCTTTGAAAATGAAATCATAAGATCCTGCTATTCCTGCTTGCTCTTTCAAAAGATGCAGCCTAGGTGGATGGACGGCTGCAGAGTTTGTAGTGGGTAGTCACATGCCCTACGAAAGAGAATTGGTCCAAAAAACACACGCTATGCATGGGTACTATACCACCAATTAGCCTCTATTGGCAGAGGATGTGGTGGAGAGGTGCTGTTACTGAAGTGGTACAATCAGTGCCATTTTATTTCAGTGCTTCAATCTCCAGCCCATATGACCTGCTATCCATATCAGGACTAAGATTTGGTGCCTAAGACACACTAACTAGTGGTAGGGATTGCCTACCACAAAATATGTTGCCAAACTTTCACTTTGATTTCAAAATCCCATTTCCACATTTTACACACAGATATGAAGACAGATCCTTACTGCTTACTTAGAAAATCTGGAGGCTTAAAAGATATACAAAAGCTAGCACTGTGGTCCCACCTTTCTGTAGCCTGCTCAGCAAGTAGCTCCACGATCTTATTTTCAAACTCTGCTTGCTCCTGCTTAAGGCTTAAAAAAAAAAAAGAAGGAAACAATTAACTGACAGGGATACGTTTCTATCACATTTTCAGATAAATGTATAGGATACGATAACAAGCGGTTTGGAAAAGAGAACCGTCCCTGGATGTAGTATAGATATGTCCAGCAACAATGATCTATTCCAAACCACATGTAATCATAGGACTGAAACCCTACACCAACTTGGACATATAAGACAGTACAAATTGTTACATTTAGTGCAATCAATATGGAAAAATGATCAGTAAATCTCGCTGAAATGTTTAATGCCAGGCGCTATCAGGAAAAATTGAGCTCGTCCATTAGATATAAACAAAAATGGAGAAACTGAAGCTAAGCTCAACTTTTGCAGCATCGTTTCACCTGCCTGTATCTACAGATTATTCTGGGCAAATAAGACATTAAATTAGTATTAAAAAATCTAAAGCTTTTTTCCAATAATGAATACAGATCAAATAAATATACATTACGCAGCAAAGCATTTATTTTAGCGGTGCACCGAAATGGAAATTTCAAAACTGACACCGAAATGAAAAACATAGCTTAAAACTATTTTGACATTCATTTAAAGGAAAACTGTTATGGTTTTGGGTAATTTCTTCCCATTTCATGTTTTTAAATAAAAAGGCAAAGGTTTTATTATATTATCAATGTTTCGGTCTACTGAACTTTTGCTATACTACTA